ACCATTTCCATCACCATCCAATTTAATTCTTAAAAGTCACATCAGGAACAAAAATATCTAAGCGTCAACTCAAACATAAAAGAAAAAAAAAAAAAAACCATTCCCATCACTATTATCATCAAAGGAGTTTAATTTTTCATGAAGTTTTAATAGTTATTCAATGTTTTTTTATGCTAATTAGATCCAATTCTATTATTTTTTATTTGTGAAATCTTTCATTATTATTTACAAAGATCAATATGTATTGCTTTGAAGATTGCCGTTAAAATTGACTACTCTTTCATCCCTGAAGTGAGGTATGTTTAGGTGATGCACTAAGGGACAAAAGGCAAAACTGAATATTAAATTGTAAAATATCTGTAAAAGCAAACTGAGTGGACTGCTTTGTGTAAATAATAATAATAACCTCCATTTCTCAATTGCCGAAGACATGCACTAAAATTTGCAAGTATATAAAGACAAAAGTGTAACTGCGATCGAGAAGCCTAGAAGTCAAGTAATGATGGTAGAGAGATATGCCCCAAGCAAATTTGGCGCTAACTGGGGCCGAAAACCCTAAAACTGGGGAAAAACGTTCGAAAGGAAATTCTAAGAGCACACGATTCGATGAAATGTGAAAACGAATCCCGTACGAGGATCCAGGTTCAAAATGAGAAGGAAAATCAGATTAGAATTCAAAGTTACCTAATCTTGCTAAAAGACCTTGAACCGGTTCAAGGAAGGCTAAATTGGTTCAAGAAGGTCAGTGAAAATTTGAAGCAATTGATGAAAGCTTGAACCAGTTCCAAAACTTGGATCTCCAGAAGTCCATTGCTGTAAGTTTAATTCCTCCAATTAGTTTGGGTAGCAATACCACGCCTACTCCAACTCCTTCCATTGATCCCATTACGGTTTTCCCCTCTTTTGAAAGTTTTAACTAGACTTACTCCTTCCATTCCAGAGGTAAATCCTTTTATCTTGAATTTTTAGCATCATTTCTTCAATTAACAAAAACAAATAATAATCAAATCTAATTACATGAAATCCTTAATTTCATCTATCTTTGCTATACGAATTCATGGAGAGTGCTCTTTATAAACATGCCAATGATTAAATCTGATTTTGAATACCAAAATATTGTTGTCATTTTGATATTTTATTGCACAGTGGAAAGGCTTCAATCTTGATTTTTTTTTATTGTATTATTATGAAAAATTTATTATTTATTTATTAATTACCGAAAAAAAAAATTATTATAGGTTCTCCGCAGATTCGTTCGATATCATATGGGTAAGGTTTGTTGTTATGCTTTATAGGTTCAGAGACTCCAAAGAAGGAATAAGCGGAATACTAGAAAGTGGTGGAAGAGGCTTAAGTCTAGATTTTTATGGAGAAAAATCTGTGATTGGAGTGGAATTGAGTAAATAATTCATTTCAGCTATTGAAGATTCGATATCAAAATCTTCATAATTGAAGTGATTCAGACAAACTTCTAAAGGATCCTTGGATAAAATAATTGGGAGTGATTCTTCAGCCAACTCATCAATAACATCAAGAAAGAAGAATTCACTATCATCGTGGTGAGGATAAGGACAAAAGGCTCAATCCATCATGGCATGGTTGGATCGATCACAATGTGATCGATCGGAGCTTGGGTTCGATCAATCACAGAAGGCTTCCACACCACTTTACTTCCACTTTGCTCATTTCTTCCACTAAGTTTTAGATTGCTTCTTTTAATGCTCTAATTCAGCTGAATTGACCTCGCTGAATATGACCTGTTTCAGGTAAGAAGACGTGGTTTCAGGATGCACAATATCCTTAGGTCGTTTTGTGGACTTGAAGTATTTAATTCATGCAAATGTTAGCATGAAATGTTATTTTTGATTTAAAATGTCAAAATGTGTATATTTGATTCTAAATATGTAATGAGCACTTAAATGCGCCATTTGGGATGTATTTGACATGTATGTAATGAGACCATGGGCCAATAATATTTATTTTGTATTATAAGTACTTTTATTTTCAAACTATTTTATTGAAAAATAGAAAAATGACATATTTTAACTTCACTACATTTGCACGGGGTGTGGGAAGTGCGCTTTAGCACTTCCATAAGGTCTCTTGATTTATGCATGAAGTGTGGCCAAAGGCCAAACGGTCTTTTGAAACCATTTTATAATTTTAAGTTTCGAGTTTCTCTTTTAAAAGCCATTTTAGGCAAAATTTGAGGTTTAATAGGTGATATTTTATATTTAGCGACCATTGAGGCCGTAGGCCATTGGAACGCGTGTAAATATGTATATTACGTTTGCATAAATGCTCACCTTGCACAAAATATCACATTTGTATGAAATGGATGCTTGTTGGTCTCAAGTTTTCCATTTAAAGCATTTTCTTTGCATTTTGAGGTTCGGATAGGTCGTATTTTGCATCGGACATTTTTGGGAGCCGCGAACCATTCCCGCGGGCTTAAAATCACTATTTACATTTGCGTGCATGATCGTTTTAGTACACAACACCATTTAGGGTCAAATGAACACTAGTGCAAAATTGTTTATTCTTTTTTTTTCAACGCTTTTGACCTAAAATGATTTAGGGCCATTTTGGAATTCCCATTGAAAATTTAATTCCGGCCTTGACATGGTCACATAGAAAATGTGATTCTAGGGGAGGTTTTTTCACAACATTTTTCCAGAAAATGTCGTTTCGGTTTTGAAAACCCTGCGTCAAATCTGATTTTCTGGTGCAAACATGCATTTTCAGAAAAGTCTGTTTTAAGGGTATTTTGGAGATTTTACGTCAAGAATAAAATTTTCTTTCGACATGGTCGGCTTAGAAAAATTATTTTAAAGGGGTCAGCATACTTTCGATGGATTTTTCAGCAGTCGATAAATATAACTTCATCGGTTACTTCTTCCTTAGTGGCATCATGACAGGAGGACTCGACAAGTATTTCTCAAATGCCCTTTAGTTTGTGTCATCCCATTTGAATTCTTCCAGCGGCTTCAACTTGAGTAAAGATGTAAACAAGTAGCATATTTTTCTACAAAAGTTAGACTACTCATTTCATGAAAATCAAGGAATATAGATGCACGTGAAGTCGAAAGTCAAATCCAAACTCAAAACCCTATTTCGGGTCTCCGAAACCGTAAGGTTACCAAAAAAAAAGAATGCCGAAAAAAAGGAAAGAAGGAAAATGACTGGGTCATTACAACCTTCCAACCTTAAAGGGATTTCATCCCCAAAATCTGGCGTCGACAAAACAGAAGGCCAATTCATGATATGTACAGAGTACATCTCCGAGCATCTCCCACAACACACTACATCGGTGATCCCAAAACCGAAAGAAGGCACAAAAAAAACCAATGCCACTTACACTCACGTACTCATGACACAACACACACACACAACAACATTTGCCAAAAGAAAATAACTATTAATTTGTAAATCTAGGGTTACAGGTAGCATTTTCTTTAAGGCTGGAGTACAATAGTATAAAATCCAACTGTTGTTATTATACACGACTGCATCCCATGCAAAGACATTAATTTCTAAAATTCAATTTACATAGAAAATAGAGAAATTTTATAATCCGGAATAATGCTACAAACACGGATGATAATTTTTTTGCAATTTCAACACTAGCATACAATTTGAAAAAAGAAAAAAAAAAAAAAAAAAAAAAATCACTTAGCACACGATAAGAACTTTTGTCAATATTTTAGTAGGATCTGTTTTCAAGATGGTGATTGTCGTATCAGAGAGTTCGTAACGAAAAAGCATTCAAACAATTTTAAATCTTTTCATAATGCGTTACTCTCGTGTATTTGTCTTTTTGTTATTGAAAAGACATTAATTTTGGACTTGGGACACCTCTACAAAGCGTTAGAGAAGTTGATTCCGAGATCAACAACTAGCTACTAGCTAGCTACTCATGTTCAAGTACCCAAAAGATCTTTTATTTCTTTTCAGTATCTTCAACGGTCAATTAGATAGATTTAAGCAAATGGCAAGAGAATATGTTTAAAGTGCAATGTAAAACAAAGGTATCTTGTGAATTTCGAACCATCTCAAACCTTTTATATTATGTATCAAGTATAACGTAATGGTATTCTTCCACCTTTATGGTTTAAGTCCTCTTAAACAAAGTCTGAATGAATTTTTTGTCACGATATAATAATAATACAATTTCCATATTATGTGGAATGGTTCATGTGCATGATAGAGATGGATCAACAGTAGGAGGGCCAAGTGGCCAACTCATCACGTGAGGCAGTCGATCAATCTGAGTTGGCATCTATCTTCAATCTGAGTTGGCATACAGATATAGATTCGACCACATTTGGACCTTCCATGGGACAAACCCTACTTCCCAAAATGGCATTCCACAAACCTGTCATCACAAGACTCATGACTGACCCCCCATTACATCTACTACTGGACCATCCAGTGCAATTCGAGAACAAAAACATTCATGCAATAACAATGTAGAGTGCAATTTGAGGAAGCAATAACGATGTAGACAGTCACACAACTTATTTACTTTGACAAAGCAGTATCCATACATCCCGCTATATCGAGACATAACACAAAATAATAATTCCCATTGCCGATGCATGGGTAACGCGTAAGAACGTGCCCTCGGAAGGAAAACAACATCTGAAACGACTGCTAAAGGAATACACACTTACCAATTATTTGTGCTCTCACCAAATTTTCAGATACTAAGCATCTTTTCGGCCAGAAAACAATTCAAATCCAATGTAAAACACAACACTACCACACTGTGTCGCCCATTAATCCAATATATCGAACATGAAACATCTCTACAACATTACTACTATACCTGAATGATCACTTGAGAATGATGCATCTAATACCGACACTGGCCTTTATCAATGATGCACACTCCCAAAAGATGTGTTGCACCATGCACGCGCGTGTGAGAGCGAGAAAGAGTGTTTTTACAATGTAATTGTAATATGTGATTAATTAGTATTGGCATGACTTGCACAATAGAGATGTTAATTATTTTGCTTTATACATGATTGCATGCCGTACATAATACAAAAGCACCTGAGTTCTCTTTATACTCAAAAAATCGTCAGATTCCTAAAGCCTACCCAGTAACATCCAAATCTAAATGCTCAAATGTTGGAGTATATTTTGCAATACAAAAGAAGGAAGCTGTAGCAAAGAAGTTGGCTGTCGCGGTGAAGGTAAAAGAAAAAGATATAAAGAAAAAGAATATATATATTTTGCAGTGCACTCATGGTACAGTTGAAAACTAATACCTCACTAAGAGAGGTGGGATAACACCGTCCGTATCTTCTGCACAAACCGCATTTCTCAATGCTGCAGATTTTATTTGTAATTACTTGTTATTCTTTCTTTCTGTCTTTATAGCCTCATAGGATGTCATGACCTCTTTGAATTTCACTTCAGCAACCTCTGCAGCAAAATAAAAGCATCAAATGTTGGACACTCCATGAAAAGCAATAACATCTGGCACAAGATCACTCAAAATCCAAAATGCAATTTGCAAGATTCTAATTGACAACGGTCAGTGGATACCGACCTTTATTATTTTGATTCTGATCTGGGTGGAACTCCTTTGCCTTTGTCCTGAAAGCTGTCTGCATAGGGAAAATGAAAAATGTTTACTCTTTCCTTTTCTTGTGTCCAGATAATAACTTGCCAGTGAAATAGAACACACAAGAATTCATAGTTTTATTCTTTGATGCACTCAAATGAATATTAAATTGTTTGAACAAGCATGCAGCAAGGTTGTTCGATATAGAGATCCTCTCGCAAGAGACTCCAGATCATTCCATTCGGAAGAAAGGACGAGTTATGCATATAGAGATGAATAGTGCCAGTAGACAACAAAATTTGAAATACAATACCAGATCAGATAGAATAGCAAAAAACCATTATACAATCACCAGAAACCAAAGTGCTGTAGTAATTGCAATCATCATGCAGCACAGAGGCAGATCAAAAGATCTTTCTTCAGGTGAGGGGAAAGCAAGATTTCGTACTTTATACATGTAAACTGTTTAAAGCAATTTCATAATTTATAATACAGAATTTTTTATTCTATTTATTTTATGAATTAATGTTTTACTCCGTTACATCAACTCTTCAAAAGAATGTGAAATACCCATGTCGAACACAAGACACTCGGACAAGGATATGGAATGCGTGTCCGGCACATTTGATCCGACATTTACCTAAAAAGCATATCCAACAAATCACTTCTATTATATTATTGCTTCAAAATGAGTTTTCCTTATTTTAACACTGACGTAGAAAAGTTATTTTACTCCAGAAAATAATAGAAAAATAGACTATTTAGCAACTGTACCTTACAAGTGTACCAAGAGTCCAGGTAATATAGAATGTTTATAATTACTGGATAAGCTCATAACATTCCTTTACCTATACAGTAACGAAACAAAACCCATTAAGTCCAAGATGCTATACGAGTGGATCATACTCCCTTATGTTTATATGAGTTATTAAAGAAAACAAAAAACAAAAGGTTTGTAAATATTTCACTTTCCTTTTCTATATTACAAAAAATTAACCACCTAAATAACATTACATATTTACATGTCATTATAAGGTCTTCGAAGATACATATTTTTTAATTAGTAGGGCTGCAACTTCCAGGCTGGGCCAAACATGAGGTCTGCCCAGGTACAAGTTTTACCAGATTTTGCTCAAACCTGACCTTGAGCCTGAGGATCAACTCATCTTCATTCAAACTCAAGCTCAACTTTATGAGCTTCTTCTTTTGGTTGTTCCAAGTTATGACCCCACTTTATAACATGAAAACTGTCAGCTTAGATTGATTGTTTAAAAAAGAGAGTGACCTTACGCCTCACATATAACAAAACATAAATAATATATATACTCGAGTTACGGTGGGTTGTCCGGGATATCTATCTGCACACAGTGTGAATTCAGGTCGGGCTTGTGTTTTCTAGCCTAGGCCCATCTTGGGCTTTAGAAAGGACCGGCTGGCAAGCCTGACCAAACTTGGTGTGAGGATAGGGCCAGCCCCGCCTGCCAATGCTGTAGCCCATTAATTAGTTTATGTTTATAATATAGAAGTCTCAAATAAAACAAATCAGACGTTAATGTAAGTTTTATGTCCCAGAAGTACAAAATGATAAATACAATTATAGAATCACTAAATTACTATAATTATTAAGACATGCATCAACATATCTGAGTTGATTTGAATAAATGACTAGTCTGCTAATATGTAATAATTTTTAGGGAACAATATTCAACATGTATTCTGATAATCAAAATTTAGGTTCTGTGGAGAGTGTAAACTAGAAGATAATGGGGGTACAAGGAAAAGTAATAAAAAGAAACAAAAGAAAATTTGTTGGCACAAATGGAAAGAAGAAAGAAGCGACGAACCATTATCAAACTAAAAAACTCCAGATCTGCAGTCACTACATAAGTAAAAGAAACTCGAGTCTACTTTGCAAACTTGGGAGCAGGGCGAAACTACCAATAAGTATAAATTAAGTGCAGGGCTTCCCAAAAAATAAAATAGCTTGGGAACAGCTTACTATAGATTACTCAAAAACCTTTTTTTTTTTTTTTTGGGTTTGTTGTTAAAGCAGCTCATATGGATTTAGTAGAATGGTATATTTGATATGTAGCCTTCCTGTTATGGCTGAGAGCGAGAAGGATTTTTCTTTAGTGTTGGAGGATTTAAATGTTAAAGTTACACCCTCTCTATCAGCTTAAACTTTTATGGTATGTTTGGTTGGAGGGAAGGATTGAGGGGGATGGGTGAGGGGGGATAAATGAACTTTTTCGCGTTTGGTTGGAGGGAAGGGAAGGGAAGAGGGAGGAAACAAGGAGGGATTTGTTATTTATGTGTGAATAAGAGGTCATCAAAAAAAAAAATTCCCCTTCTTTTAATAAATATTGATTTATCAGAAAAAAAAAAAAAAAAAGATCAACAATCATTCATAGTCACTCTTTTCTCCATTTTATTATTATTATTATTATTATTATTATTATTTCAAAATGTAGAAAGGAGACTTGAATTGTGTTGTAAGCAAGTGGACTTGATAAATTATCACCCGAACAAGAGTAAAAATTATCCGCACAACTTGCAGATTCAGATATCTCAATGCTGTTACATAATTTGAAATGGATATCTAATTTTTATAATTTTTAATAATGAAGGTATATTGGTAAAAGACTAAAAAATCTTTTTTCCTTCCTTCCAACCAAACAAAAAAAAAAAAGTGTCACCCCATCCATCCTTTTTACTATCCATTCCATCCAACCAAACAAAAAGTGAGGGAGCATTCCCTTCCCTAGGGATGCCTCATCCATCCCTCCCCCTCTCCCTTCCATCCATTTTTCCATCCCTCCAACCAAATGGATCATTAGAGCAGATGGTTGTTAACAAGGTATCAAAGCCAAAGGTCTCGAGTTCAAACCTCACCGTCACCCTGATAATTAAAATTGAAAAACATGTGAGGGGGCATATTAGAGGATTTAAATATTAAAGTTACACCCTCTCTAACAGCTTTTTTTAGAGTAGATGGTTGTCAACATTTAGTTATAACCTAAACTGAAAAACAAGTACTCACAAATAAAATTAATATTTTTTACAGTTTTAGCCGGGTTCGTATGGCATACTTTTCAAGTAGGTTAACCTTCAAAGCTGAAAGTGGTGACATATATTCCCTTAAACTATAAAATAAAGAATCATTCATTAATTAAAAAAAAAAAAAGACGTCATCTACAGCTTTTACAAATTAAATTGTTAATAAACTATTAAGGATCACCTCCATGAATAATGTTCACGAAGGAGCTTTATATAGGACCATATTTCTATCAATCAAGGGCCAATGCATCTTTAACCAGTAGCTTTCACTTGCTTCTTTTTGGCTTTCCTCCCGTCGTCCTGATAATTGAAAAGAAGCCAGCATCTTTCACTTAACAAAATGGAACTGCTTTAGACAACTTTCATGACTCATCTACTTATTAGCTTGTCTTGTATAACTTTTGCCTTTGGTTTCCTATGTATTTGAATCAATTACAAAGCCTTTGAATCAGTTTTCTACTAAATCCACTCAGCTCCAATTCCATGGTTGACACCCTCTTCAATGTTCACTTCCTCATAAATAACCAACAAGAATCACATTGTTTCTGCCCCCTAAAAAAATAAAATAATAATAACTAAAAATCTCAAACTTTTTTCCTAATCGTATAAAGTAATTTGGATATATTTTTTATCTTGGTGATCATTTAACTTTAACATTCTAAAGAAGCTTTTGGTTTCTAATGCAGGATTACTTAACTCATGTTTTATCAAGTATATTTACAGATAGCATGCAGCCATACACCATGCATTTCAACCTAATCCTCCTTTAAGATGAACCAGATATACAGCAGGTCACCGTAGCATTCTGTTCTCAGAACCAAGACCTCAAAAGCACTGTAAAGCCACATACAGTGTGGAGACGGGACAAAATAATATTTGCTTGGGAAACTTCAAACCCAGAACAAATTCATTTTTATCAAATAGTGCGCAAATCCACGTATCAATGTGTCAAATAAGAGTACAAAAAGTTCCCCTTTTGAACGCTTTTTTCGTTTCTATCCACATTTACTTATCAAATATATATATATATATATATATATATATATATATATATATATATAAGAGTACAAAACATTATTTACTTGATGCAGCAAGGTTGTCAATTAAAAAATTCATGTCATATTGATGCTTTGAAGCTGCCAACCATGACAACCAAGAGTTTTGCAGGCAATAACAATGTGACTTCGTCACTCAGGATTCCACCAGTTTCCAAGAATGTTTATGCCCCATCTCTGGGACATACTACCTCATTCAAACAAGAAATCTATGTTACATGGACTGGAGCATGTGTATGAGGAGCGTCTGTCTGTCCAAGTGTTGAACATATATAAATCGCAAATCTGAAGATAAAGATAATTTCTTTGAAATGTGTCCAAAAGTCAAGTACGGGTAAGTACATAAGTACTACATATTTACATACATCATATTTTAATAGTGTAATGTATGATGTTATTGTTCTCTAGCGATATTCTCAATTAGAATTTAACTTAAATTAATGTCCCAAGCATTGGAATTCATTTACCTCAACAGTAGGAAACCCATCTTTTCTATCAAATTTGAGCTTATTTTTATTCTTCAACCATCACATGTACAGAATCAAGTATCTAATTTGGTTTGTATTGTGTCAACAAGGGTACTTTGAGGGGAATACAAGAGTCCAAACACAAAAAAAATTCTTCTCCTACATCACTATATTGTACCACTAAGACTGTTTTAAACATAACATGAAGAATGACAAATATTATTCCCCATGGAAATCCTTCTTTACTGATCAGTTTAAACATTATTTTTCTTCCTTTAAATTATGGTAATTTTTAAAATTTCTCAATTGCTAGATGAATATCTGCAGCAATAACATTAGGATTGAAAAAAGAGAAGAGGTTAACAATTTATTTTCCAAGTCATTCTTACAATCGCTGGCTTCTTGTTTAGACAAGTACTTATATAATGCTCAAAATTATCATTCTAGAAAGTCCATCAATTTAATTGCTTTGATTCAAATAACCATGGGAATTTATCATTGCTAATTATATTTTTTTCACTAAATTATCTATATCATTAAAATACTTATTGACCAATTAGTGTCAATTAAAGGAAATAAGGTAAGTAATAATATAAAATATTTGTGTTATTATTCAAGACTGGCAAGGAAAAGAAAAAGGGAAACCAGATGTAAAAGGTGAACATGTAAGCTATGGCTAATACCTTAATCTCATCATCTGTGTACGGTTTAGTTCTCAACCTGTTGCATATAACGGGAAAAAATGTTAAGATCTGCATTTGAAAATTGTGACATAGACATGGTTACATTAGCAGAAATATTTATATTCAAATGAATCACCGTTTCCTGATATGGAAGAAAAAAGGTGAAGTACAACTGACATAATTATCAAGAACAATAACTACTTCTTAAACTGTAAAAGGAACATGAATGACAAAAACCTCAACGCGCACCATTTAGAGGATAAAAAAGTGTATATCATGTTTACTCATAACAAGTCAACTACAGATTTGCACCAAAAGCACATGTTTTCAGCTCAATAAGGTCTCTTATATTCTAAAGAGGATTATGGTATTTAGCAACTTGTCGCAGCCTGTCAATAGAAAAAGACTGTTTGGGGTTGTAAAAATGGCTTCAACTTCTCTTGTAAGTATTCTTTGCCTCAGAATCACATGGTGTTACCTTTGCTTTAGTTTTTTACTTCACATTACTTCTTGAAAAATAGGGGGAGAAACTGCTAAAACTTTAGGAGGACGTATATATATATATATATATATATATATTTTCCCTAAGCACGTATATATGATTTTCCTTTTGTTGATATACAAAGCTTACATATGTTGGTCATTTTGTTTCAAGAATTTCAAATTTTACAGAATTGTATATGAATGATAATTTCAACTGGAGGGATGGCATTTAATCATTTGTTCACTATAATTCAACTTATATATTGTTGATCTCATTTAAATTTAATCTTGGAAAAATTACTGGCCAATACTACTTTTGCACTCCAGAGACAAATAAGTCCTATAAAACTTTCATATAACATGAAGACCTACTTTTGAGAAATATTTCCAACAAAGTTCTGTAACTAATACAACTCCTCTTTTACCCTTTACATATTTCTCTTTCCATCCCCATCAATTAATCATAACAGGTTAAAATTGAGACTAATAAATGGATTTGAGCATGACACGATCAGTTCCATACATGTTTACTTTGGCGAATGGAATACCTAAGATGTCATATATGATATTTAGGTAATTTTCCCCAAACAATTTGTGCTAAACAATTGAATGAATAAAATGAATTCAACAGAAAAAAAAAAAAAAAAAATCATGTTATACTCGATTCATAAAGATAAATTTGACGCACATTTTAGATAACATTGTCTCAATTTCATAGAGATATATTTCTGATCCCTGCAATCTTATTTTATTTTTTTAAAAAGATGTATGATTTTAGAAAATCTAAAAAAAATGGAAACAATTCATTTATTATTTATATATGTTATGCATTATAAGTATTCGTTGTATTTAACATGTCATGAGTAATTCTATGGACAATGAATTTGAAATAATTTGTTAAATATTTTAGGAGTACTAATTCTGGTACTATTTTCCTCTAAATTGGTATCAGTTATTAGAAATAGAAGCATAATGGATACTTTAGTGACGAAAGGGCATTGTTGGTAATTTAGTAATAAAGGGCAATACTGGAAAAAAGTTCATTAATTTGAACTTATTATGGAATATTTCTCAAAAGTGGATCTTACTTGCCTCATGAGAACTTTTTTAGATCCTATTTTATCTTTGGAGTACAAAAGTAGGACTAACTAGTAATTTTCCCTTCAATCTTCTATTAGTTTCCAAGCAATTCTTTGATAAGCAATGGATTTTGTTAAAATAATAAACAGAAATCACTGGGGGCAATCAAATCATCTACAGTAAAATATATGAAAAGATGAAGAATCTTCTAACAAAATAGTAATAATTACCCAAAGCCAAAGATGATACAGGATCAGATGAGTCACACAAAATAATACGTTGAAGCCATTTCAAGGCCCAAAAAGATTTCTATAACCTGATCTAAACTTACTTTCTAGATCTCTTATAAGTGAAATAATTTTATGCCAAAATTACCATTTGTCTTTTGGATAAGAGTTAAACAGTTTCTTTTACAAGTATGTTGATTATCAAGAGAAATGAATTTATTCAATTATCATTTGCAAGTTATAAGTATATGAGCCCTTAGTTACATGGAACGCATGAAAAGCTTACACAATGCAGTAAACATCTCACCATTGCCACGTCTCCAATACCATTTCAGATTGGACTTACAGACTACAACCATAATAGATAACAAAGAGGTAGAATTATATGGTCACTTTGAGACCTATTAACTCCATCCTAGCAGACACTTGCTCTCCATATTAATAAATGTCAACAGATGCATCTTAATACTTATTAATTAAGCTGCAGGATTTGATTAAAGGTACTTCGAGCAGACATTTGCCCCAAGGTTGCAGATTCCAAAGACTATAAAGTTGCCTCGTTGAAGAAGTCCCTCAAATAATTTGTTAATTATTCACAGAACACTGCAATCATCTCTTTAACATGTCTAAAGTCTCCATAGGACTTAGATCCCCTAATGGATTCCGATTGCAAAATTATTGGGCTTGTAATCTGTCTCTTGCTATAGACAATCCCAGATTTTCCCTGTATGGATTTGGCAGCATGGAGACCAAATACATCCATGTGCAAATTATTTCCAATGACGCCCCCTATATATACACTAGAGGCACTTCTTCAAAACAAATAAGTCTATGTTGTTGGGATTTGTATTGGAAGAACTCCTTCCTCACAGATAAAGCCTTGCCTTAAGTGAAAAACAACTGCAATTTTGGAGACTGCAAAGGCATCCTACTGTACATCATACACAGCTGAAGCTGGAAGCAGGACTCAAGGTGGTATATACTGCTAAATGAAAACTCATACCTCGAGGTACACAAATATGACATCCCTAAAAACAAATTGCTTACTTGTCATATCTCACTTCAGGATACACAGATATGGCACAGCTCATTGGGAACCTAATGGTTACATGGCTAGCTTGTTGAGATCAAAAACACAAGCCAGCACAGTTCGACCTGATCTAAAAAGGCAGAAACAATTAGACTCTCAGATGGCATGGAAACATTATGAATAGACCATGTCTAAATTTTTTTTTTTTTTTGGATAAGTAAAGATTGTACAAAGAAGCGTTCAAAAGGGAAACGCATCCCTCAAAAAATACACAAGGCCTAATAGGGCCTCTAAACTCGAGAGGGTCCAAAAAATCAACCATCTCCTCCATGGATTTATAAAATCTCCTTGTAAACCAACAAAAAAGAGTGTTAATAATAGAGAACTTCAACTCCCCCATAGCAGTCTCCTTTCCTTTGAAGGATCTCCTATTTCTTTGAAGCCATAAACACCACCAGACGCAAAGAGGCATTACCCTCCAAAAATCACGGATTTGGGTCCCCACTATACAACTTCGCCAAGCCTCAATCAAATTTCTGGGATATCTGGGCATAACCCACTGAATCCCAAACACACTCAACAGTAAGATCCAGCAATCCCTAGCCAAAGACAATGCAAAAGAAGGTGATCAACCGTTTCCCCATCCTTCTATTTATTTTTTTTCCCTGAATGAGTTTTATTTTATTATACAAAATAATCAAAATAATGTACAAGAGGAAAGAGTGATCTAGCTTTGATCACATGGAAAACAAATGAAGAGATAACCATCTGATGGGGCATACCCCATACAGAGTAAAACAAAATTAAAGAGACTCTACTACAGCTCCAGAAAAACAATTGCCATTCTAGATAAGCAAGTGCCTACAAGGCAACCGTTTCCCCATCTCTCTTACACATGTAGCACCAATTGACCACTATCTGTCTTCTCCTTCTCAAGTTATCCTGGGTTAAGATCTTCCCTAACACTGAAGTCCGCGCAAATCAAAATAAAAAATATATTAAAAAAAAAAACACTTTGAGAGGAGCCTTGGATCTCCAAATAGCCTTCCATGGGAAAGACTCCCCATGGGCTTCCGTAATGCACCTGTAGATAGACCGAACACCAAAACAACCCTAGGCAGAAGGAACCCAAACCCATGAGTCAAACATCACCCGTAAACTCTAGTTTGCACACCATTTTCGAAAGATCAATGGCATTCTCGATCTCCCAATCCTGAAAGTGCCTCAAGAAACATATGTCCCAAACTGTTCTCCCACTATCAAGACAATAGCAGTCAATCACAAAAACATGTATGTCCATAGCAATACTAATGAGCCTAGGAAAAGTCATGGCAAGATAGCGATCGCCACACCAAATATCCTCTCAAAAGTGGATCACCCTCCACCATGTCAACTTTACTAGAATACCGCCAATGGGACCAAACCTTTAACCCATGGAAACATCCAATTCAAAGCAGTGGTTATAGGGAAAGTTAGTCACCTTGACCACTTCTACATCCTATTGGCTCAAGGTTGAGGTTGACACATTGACCGGACAAAACCATCATGTCAATATGAGTACCACCCTGTCCTCCTTTGACTACAAATATCCCATATTTTACACAGGTGAGATCTTGACCTTAATTCCTTCATGATCTTAAAAACCTTGGAAGTCACAGTACCCCTTTGCCTCAAAAAGCTTTACAAGTGCTACATGACAGTTTTGACCCTGACAAGTCTTTAAAGTCCGCTTGGTTAGAGGGAATCAGCTGGAAAAGAAAGGAAATAGAAAATTTTTAAATTTTTTTGGACCTTGGATAAAATGAAAAGGAAACATAAATTAGGATTTCTGTAACTGCCTACTTTCCCTCAAAACATTTCCTGCACAAAACACGTGAAAAACATGCGAATTTTATTTTCACGAGAAAGGATCACTTTTTTATTTTACATTCCTATTTTATCCAACAACTTCATGGTGGTTTTTTACCCAGAAACAACTTTATTGTTTTTGTACTGGCTTTCAAATAACAGCAGTCAAAACAAATTCAGTGGTTTTCTACTGGGTTTAAAGAACTGCAGACCAACAATGACTTCATCGTTTGCAGGGCCTGAATTAACTGACTTGCATTCCCTATGTATGGTGTTTTCCATCAGATATGAAAATCAAATAAATAGTAGTTTGCAGGGTCTGAATTAACTTGAAAACTCCATCCTTTTTCGATATATATTATTACTAAT